TCTCCTGATAGGAGGCTAAGTCTACACGGAGTGCTCGGTCTCCGTCTGGGCTTATTCCGTCTGGACCTAGCCTCTCCTGAAGAGGGCGGCCTTCGGCCGGGTGGGGTCAGGACGAGGATACATCCGTTCCAGAGCACTCCAGAGCGCTCCCAGAGCTCTCGGGAGCGCTCTGAGAAGGCCGCGGCGCCCGAGACGTCCTCCAGAGCCGTCGGATCTCAGCGATCTTCGATTCAGCCTCATCCGATTGCGAAGGCCTTACGGCCGGTGCCGCCGACCCTGAAGGGGGACGACGACGACGACGACGACGACGACGACGACGACGACGACGACGACGACGACGACGACGACGACGACGACGACGACGACGACGACGACGACGACGACGACGACGACGACGACGACGACGACGACGACGACGACGACGACGACGACGACGACGGCGACGATCTTCGATCTGTCCTCACCCGCTGCTGTCCTCGTCCCGGCTTCGTCCCCAGACCCCCGACGTCATGAATTTTTCATGACGTCGACCCCCAGCGGTCTGGACCCTTTCCCCGGGACCGGTTCTTCGTCCTGAGTCGTTTTTTGACGCTTCGGGCCGCTCCGTGAGCCGCCAGGAGCGATCGGCAAGCCGCCAGTCCTGGAGACGCAAGTATCACGCCGACGACGATGACGAAGAATAGGAAGATGGCGCACGTCTGGCACGTCGCGGCCGGGTCCGCAGTGGCTCACCCGACCGCGCGCGCTGGTAAGGGCCCCCAGAGGCCAAAAATAATGAAACACCTCCCGGCGTGATTTTTTCATAACTCGAGGGGGTCTGGGGACAAGGAGCTGTCGTTCCCTGGAGGCCAAACGGTGGCTTCCGCCGGCCCCCGCTGCTGGTGGCTGCCGGCCCCGTCCTGCCTCCGCCCTTTCTGCGCGGGCCGTCCGCCGCCGTCCGCCGAGGAGGAGAGGTCGAGCAGGAGGAGGAGGAGGAGGAGGAGGAGGAGGGAAAGGAGGAGGAGGAGGGGGTCTGGGTCTTGCTGGAGGCCTCGGGGAGCCCCCCCCGGGGTGGGCGGCCCTCGGAGGCCCACGGCGGGCCCGGGGTGCCTCCGGGTGCCGGGGCGGGCGGGTCGGGGGCGGGGGAGGGGCGCACCGTCCGCCCGCGGGGCTAGGAGGAGCAGCTTGTCCTATATCGGGAGCGGAAAAGAGGGGAGTGATGACTAAGGGGGGGGGGTGTATTTCATGGCGCGGGCTATGATTTTTCCTCAGATTTCATGGCGCCTCTTCTTATTTCATCGCGTCCCAGGCCCCCCGCTGGGCCGTGCACATGCCGCCGGTCACGATTTGCACCCCCCCCTCTTGGACACCCCCCTCTTGGCCGCTCCCGACTATAGGGTTACCCCCCTGCATCCTGGCCCCTTCGGTCCATGCCTGTCAGCTTTCGCCGGCCAGCCCCTCAGGGAACCCCTGGGGCGGGCTTTCCAAGGCCCTCGCATCCTCCTCGTGCACCCTTGCACTCCGCGGGTTGACTGTACACAGGAGGGAGAGAAACACACAGACACAATTAATCGTCGATTCCCCAGAAAATATGGGAAAATATGGGCAGTGGGGGGGAAGACAGAAACCGAGAAAATATGGGAAAATATGGGGGATATTTTTATTTGTGTGTATTTATTTGTGTGTCCCAGTTCCCCTTCATGTACACGTGTGTGAACCCCACGCTGGTTTCGGAAGTGCGCGCTGCGCGAAGCTCCGTGCCGCGAGGCTGGTCTCGCGGGCTGCGGGGGCCCGTGTTCCCGCGCGCGGTCGGGCGCGGTGCGTCCTTCCGTGGGCTCCCCAGCTGGTGGGCGCCACTCCGCAGAGCTCGCGCGACATGGCACAGCCGCATGCTCGGAGATCCGTACGGATCTCTTGCTTCGGTGCTGGGTCCCCCCCTGGCGGTGCCTCCGTCGCGGCCCCTGGCGAGCGCAGCGCGCCAGGCGAGGGGGGGATCCAGCGCCGACCCCCCAGAGCTGCGCGGACCTCCGATCGTCTAGGCTTGTGTACCGTCTTCGCCACGTGGTGCTTGCACTGAGGGGCTCCTGCTTCTTTAAGACTTGAGGTGCAGGAGGAGGAGGAGGAGGAGGAGGAGGAGGAGGAGGAGGACGAGGAGGAGGAGGAGGTCTGGTTGGTGGGCGCCCGTGGGTGCCTCGTGGGCGCCCGCGCTGTGTGTGTGCAGGTTTCGCCTGGCTTCCGCCCGTGGGCGCCTCGTGGGCGCCCCGCGGGGGGTGCGCCGAGGTTTCGCCTGGTGCCCGTCCGTGGGCATCTCGTGGGCACCCGTGCCCGCTGGTGGGCGCCTCGTCGCTTACACCGCATAGCTGGCACCGCAGAGCTTCCACAACACGGCTTGCAGCACACAGCTTGCACCGCGTAGTCTCGCAGCACATGGCTTACACCGCACAGCTCACGCCGCATAGCTCACACCACAGCGTGCGCCGCATAGCTTACACCGCACAGCTTTCACTTCAACGCAGCACTCAGTCACTGTTCGGGGTCCACGCTGGCATCAACGACGGCTGCGAGGACGTCTCCAGCCCTTCACACCCACTGGAGCAGCCTCGGAAGGATCCTCGCGGGCCTGGAACTTGAGATGGCTCGGGCGACGCGATAGGCTCCTAAACATTTGGCTCCCCCGCGCTGAAGTCCAACACTATGGGGCGCCACACGATAGGGTCCATTACCACAGGGCCCCCCACACAATGAGGTCCTACACAAAATGAGGCGTTCCCTTCGATGATCGAAGGAGTTGGCATCTCTTCCGCCGCGGAAGGCGGCGGAAGGTCGGCGGAAGTAAAACGAGGCCGCCTCTGCAGGCGCAGGCCAGCGGAAGGGCGGCAGAAGGCGGCGGAAGTCAACAAAGGACGCCTCCAGGAGATGACAACGTCTTTGGGTTCAGGGCTTCCGAAGTCTGCCGTATATGCCCACATTGCGCTGCCTCCCTGGGGGATCTCGTCTGCCCTGTAAGCTGCGGTCGTCCTCGTTGTATCCGGCACGGGTTCGACGTGGACTCGACGCGGATGCGGCGCGGGCTCGACGCTCGACGCGGATTCGACACAGCGGCGCGACGGGACGGAGTCGATACAGGTCGGCAGTGACAGCCACTGGGGTTGGGGGGGGAGGGCGACATTCGATGTTTTTTTTTTTTTTTTTTTTTTTTTTTGTTTTTTCCTCGGTCGAGGATTTGGGATTGAGGGTTTGGGGACGCTATCTGTTCTCTTTGTTGCCCACTGCAGGCCTCCATGGGGTCCCTATGGATGGAGACTTCCGTGCTCGTCCATGGGCGCCTTCTCCTCCTCCCCCTCTCCCTTTCCTGTCTGAGAAATGGGCGTTCCTCAAGGCTGAGCTGGCCAAAGACTTGAGCGCAGCCCAACGCTGGCAACGTTGGGCTGCGTTTAAGTCTTTGGCAGGGGGCTGAACAGCCAGTGCTAGGATGCATGTCTCGCCTCACTCTCGTGATTGGATCCTTAGCTGTGACGGCCCAGATGCAGTCCAACACCATTTTCGATGCTCAAGGCTCCGTCATCATGGCGCCCTTTGCTGGATGCGTCTCGATTTCCCGTCAGACCCCCTGCTCTGGATCGGCTGATCGGCTTAGGACGAGCCGAAGAGTACCAACAGGAAAGCTGAGACATGTCTTTGACATAGGCTGCTGAAGCCACGGTCCTAGCCTTCCGCATCTGCCATGAAGCGAAAGCTCGCGTGCCGATCTCGGCGCACCTCTAAGACGAAGACGCTGCGCGAGTCTCTGTCGCTGCACGTCTGGTGCTTCGCGCCCTGGTGCGGTCATCAGGAGCCCGCCCTCAGGTTTCGTCGACTCCACCTCCTCCTTTCCCTTGCCATCGCTCGGGTTTGAGACTTGTTCGTTGGCGGGGGCCATCGCGGAGCATCTTGGATCATCCGGCAACGACCAAGAGCACGCACGAAGCCGACACATGCACGGGGAGTGGGCGCCCGTCCGATGGCAGAGTTCCACAGCCCCGCCATCGCATGTCTTCCTCGACCCGGAGGGGCCCCCCCGCTGTGTGCTCCCCTCGGGGGGGGTGGTCGGGGGGCGGGGGTACTCCTCGCGCCATCCGCAGGTCCGCCGCGCAGCAGCCCGGCAAAGGGCGGCAGATGCCCTGTCGGGGCTCCCGCGACGGGGGTCAGTGCAAACGGGGGTCAGCCGGAGCGCCAGATCTTGCAGGATCCTGCGCCCTGAGATCCTGGCATTGCATCTTTTTCTCAACTGGCGTTTTCGATCAAATTCGGACCCCGGGACCCTCACATATCGATCTCGCTCGAAAACTCACGCAGAACGATGGGGTCGGGGGCTCCAGTCGTTTTTTTTTGTTGTTGCCATGTTGCATTTTTTGTCAACGTCGGATCTCAGGGCAGAGCCAGGGGCACATTGATCCGGGTTAGGGCGCAGGATCTTGCAGGACCCTGCAAAGCCCGATTGACCTGGGTATGTATTGACCCAGGTCGGTAGATCCCCGATCCTATAGAGGCTGGCGGGGCGTCATGCTCCGGGGCCGCCGCCTGTCGAGCACGGGGCCCAAGGCTGGGCCGAGACGCTCCAAGAAGGGCTTCCGAGACGTTTCTGAGAGGACCAGGATGGCCCCATGATTCCCACGATATTTTTGTACGCGTGGGAAGGATTTCCGCATCTCGCTTCATCTGGCTCTTACGGCCCCAGATGGCCGCAGAGACCTCCGAGATGGTCCCAAGACGGCCCACGAAGCCCCCTAAGAGGGCCCCAAGACAAACGAAGGGGGCCTCAACACGGCCCACGAGGCCCCCAACGGCCCTGAGAAGTCCCCGTATCGATCCTGGTTCAAGGCGTCTTGGCTCAAGCTGTCTCGCTCAGACTGTTTCGGTCTCCCGCACCCCTCGCACGCGGACGCGCGCAAGCAGCAATGAAGTGTTTCGTCCTGTTCTCAATTTTTGCGCTTGCGGGCGTGCGTGGCGCAACCGCCAGCCAGTTAAATCCTCTAGGCAAGGTCATCGAGCTCATGGACTCCCTGGCGGCGAAGCTGGTCGCAGATGGGGATGCCGAGGACAAGGCGTTCCACAAGTATGTTGAGTGGTGCGACGAGACGACTTCGAATCAGAAGTATGACATCGACACCGCCACCACAAAGAGCAGCGAGCTCGAGGCCACGATCACGAAGGCCACCAGCGATATTGAAGCAGCTGAGGGCAAGATAGGCGACCTGGCGGGCAAGATCGCGAAGGCAGAGGGTGAGCTGAACGACGCCGCGCTGATTCGCAAGAAGGAAGCGGCTGAATTCTCAGCCGGCGAGGCAGAACTCACGGACACTCTGAGCGCCCTGTCTCGCGCGGTCGACATTGTTTCCAAGGAAATGGCGAAGAACCCCGCCGCCTTCGTGCAGATGGATGTCTCGGGCGTGGCCGGTTTGGTCACTGCTCTCAGCACAATTGTGGACGCTGCGTCCCTCGGGGGGGCGGACAAGGACAGGCTCGTCGCATTTGCGCAGGAGCAGCGGGATGCCGCTGAGTCGGACGAGTCTGGCGCCCCTGACCCGGCAGCCTACAAGTCACACAGCACAGGGATCTTGGACGTCCTCGAGGATCTTAAGGCGAAGGCCGAGGAGCAGCTCGCCACCCTGCGCAAAGAGGAGTCGAGCACTCGGCACAACTACGCCCTTCTAAAGCAGAGCTTGGATGACGAGGTTGCCTACAACACAAAGGAGCTGAACGAGGAGAAGGCGTTCAAATCTGACACCGAGGAGGCGAAAGCGTCTGCCACCGCGGATCTTGCAACGACCGCGACGTTGCTCAAGGACACAAAGGCAGCGAGGTCGGCAACGCAAGCCGATTGCATGAAATTGGCGACAGACCACGACGTCTCCACCGCAGGCCGCACTGCCGAGCTGAATACGATCGCCGCTGCGAAAAAGGCGCTTATGGAGACAAGCTCTGGCGCCGTGGAGCAGACGTACTCCTTCATCCAGAAGGTAAGCTCGCACCTGCGCACTGGCGCAGACCTGAGGGGCGCCGAGGTGGCCCGCTTCGTCAAGAGGCTGGCCAAGGACCATCACTCTGAGGCCCTCGCACAGCTGGCATCCCGCATCACAGCGCTCATGCAGTACGGCAGTGGCGCTGGGGCGGATCCCTTCGTAAAAGTCAAAGGTTTAATTCAGGACATGATAGAGAAGCTCGTGGCCGAAGCTGACGCGGCAGCGACCGAGAAGGCCTATTGCGACGAGCAAATAGCCAAGACCGAAGCGAAGAAGTCGGAACTCGAGGATGACATCGCCAAGCTGACTTCCAAGATCGACACCAAGAGCGCGCACTCGGCCAAGCTCAAGGAGGAGGTAAAAACGCTGCAGACGGAGCTGGCCTCGCTGGCCAAGGAGCAGGCAGAGATGGATCAGATCCGCTCTGACCAGCACGCAGCCTACCTCCAGGCCAAAGCTGACCTCGAGCTTGGCCTGGAGGGCGTGGGCAAGGCGCTGTCCATCCTCCGCAAGTACTACCAGGGTGGCGGTGCCGCCATGCTCCAGAGCCAGCAGCCAGCCAAGCCCGTGTTCCACAGCAAGGCCGCAGGCGCAGGTGGCAGCATAATCGATATCCAGCTGCCTGCGGCAAGTCCCGCCACCGTGCCTGCCCAGCATTCTGGGGCGGCGGCTCTTCGAGGGGCAGGGAGGGGGCGTCATGTGTGACGCGTCGTGCCCCCAGGCTTGGGATAGCCTTGAAGATGATGATGATGATGATGATGATGATGATGATGATGATGATGATGATGATGATGATGATGATGATGATGATGATGATGATGATGATGATGGATGATGATGATGATGATGATGATGATGATGCTGATGATGACGATGATGATGATGATGATATGATGATGCTGATGCTGATGCTGATGATGATGATGATGATGATGCTGATGCTGATGAGATGATGATGCTGATGATGATGATGGTGATGATGATGATGACGATGCTGATGATGATGATGATGCTGATGATGATGATGATGGTGATGATGACGATGATGATGATGCAGATGGTGATGCTGATGATGATGATTATGATGATGATGATGATGATGATGATGATGATGATGATGATGATGATAAGGCTGATGATGCTGATGGTGATGATGACGATGACGATGATGGTGATGCTGCTGCTGCTGATGATGATGCTGATGCTGATGCTGATGCTGCTGATGATGACGATGATGATGATGATGCTGATGATGATGATGATGATGACGATGATGATGATGATGATGATGATGATGGTGGTGATGATGATGATGATGATGACGACGATGATGATGATGATGATGATGATGATGATGATGATGACGATGCTGCTGCTGCTGATGATAATGCTGATGCTGATGCTGATGCTGCTGCTGATGATGATGACGATGATGATGATGCTGATGATGATGATGATGATGATGATGATGATGCTGATGATGCTGATGATGATGGCGATGGAGATATGATGAGGAGTTGGGGAGGGGAAGGAGGAAGCGGAGGATGAGCAGGAGGAGTTGGAGAAGGAAGAGGAGGAGAAGGAAGAGGAAGGTCGTCACATGTGACGCCTTTCGTCTTCATCGTCTTGGGGCTGCCTTGGGTTCCTGTGAGGCAGTCTTGGGGGTTCTTTGGTTCCTTCTTGATGCCCTCGTTGGCCGCTTTGGGGCCCTCTTAGACAGTCTTGAAGCTCTCTCGGGCTATCTTGGGACCGTCTTGGCGGTATGGTAAGTGTCCTGTGACCCCTTGTGAGGCCATCGGGCCGTCTTGGGCCGTCTTGGGCCATTGGGCCGTCTTGGCGCCACCTTGCGGGCTTCTTGGGCCGTCTCGAGCTGACGGACGCCCGAAACGGCGAGAGTACGACAATAGATCAAACACCGTATGAGAATCACCGATTATGGCTTCTTCGGACCCTGCTGGGGGTCCTCTTGTGTCCCTCTTGGGCGCTCTTTGCGCCATCTCGGGCCGTCTTGAGGCCATCTTGAGCCGCCTTGGTGCAAGCTGAGCCCGTCTTGGAGGCATCCTTGGCCATCTTGGCGGCCTTCATTGCCTGCCTGGGCCGCCTTGGAAGCTCGGTAGCGCGGATCAGCAATTATTTTTACGAGGGGTCGTGGCCTCGGGATCTCGGATTCATGTTTTTGTTTGTTTGTGTTTTTTGTGTGTTTTGTTATTTTTGTTGTTTGTAGTTATTGGTCTGAACTTTTGTCTGTTGTTGTTGTTGCCGTTGTTGTCGTTGTCGTTGTTGTTGTCGTTGTCGTTGTCGTTGTCGTTGTCGTTGTTGTTGTTGTTGTTGTTGTCGTTGTCGTTGTTGTTGTTATGATTGTTGTTGTTGTCGTTGTTGTTGTTGTTGCTTGTTGTTGTTGTGGTGGTTGTTGTTGTGGTTGTGGTTGTTGTTGTGGTTGTTGTTATTGCTTGTTGTTGTGCTTATTGTGGTTGTTGTGGTTGGTGTTGTGGTTGTGGTTGTTGTTGTTGTTGTGGTTGTTGTTGTTTTCGTTGTTGTTGCTGTTGTTGTCGTTGTCGTTGTTGTTGTGGTTGTTGATGTTCTTGTTATTGTTGTTGTTGTTGTCGTTGTTGTTGTTGATTGTTGTTGCTGTTGTCGTTGTTGTTGTCGTTGTTGTTGTTGTTGCCGTTGTCGTTGTCGTTGTTGTTGTTGTTGTTGTTGTGGTTGTCGTTGTTGTTGTTGTTGTCGTCGTTGTCGTTGTCGTTGTGGTTGTGGTTGTGGTTGTGGTTGTGGTTGTGGTTGTGGTTGTGGTTGTTGTTGTTGAACATTATTTATTCTAAAGAATAATTATTGTTGGGACCCCTGGTGCGCGACCCCCTCGCCGCGCCTAGGCCGCAGCTACATTTTCATCATTTTCGTGAGGAAGCCTCAGGTAATACGATGTCATCAAGATCCGGTTGTTTTGTTCCCCCCCGCTGTCCCTTGCAAAAAACACTATAAAATGAAATTTCTTGTTCTAAAATAACCAAACTTCAAGAATCCCTTGCAAAAAATAAGGTAAAGTGGACATTCGCGCGCGCAAGACGAAATCCTTCCAAAACCTTAGTGTTCGTAACGATTTCAACATAAAAACATCAAAAAAACAATTTTTTTTTTTTTTTTTTTTTTTTTTAAAGTGTCACAATTTCATCCCGCGCGCTCTTGCGGATTTGCAGGAAACCCAACTTTTTTAAACATTTCTGTCAAGCGGGCTTTTGCGATCAACTTCTTCACGTGCTTCGAACTTCTCCAACAACGGTTGCGCACCTGCCAGGGCCATCATCCCTGTCAAATAATACCATGCGGGACACATTCGTTTTTTCTTTCCGTGCGCACGCCGAAATCTTCAAAAACCATTGGGTTTCGTAGGAATTTTAGCACCGCGCAACATAAAATCATTTTTCGCACCGTAGGCCCTTCAAATCGTCGTCGTCGTATACTAAGCTAGTTTCCACAAGATGTTACCACAAGAAGTCATTGAAACCATGCGCCAGTGTAGTAGCCACGGTCGTCCGCATGCCACGAAGTGAAGTGTCCGAACGTCATAGGGCGGGAAGCTGGGTGTGGGTGGTGGCGAAGAGTCGTTTGGAAATGTGGTAGAGCTTGAACCGGCCCCCCCACAAAGTGGGGGTATTGGCGGGCGTCGTATGAAAACCCTGGCACTGGTGAGAACACTGAGCGTTCGGGTAAAATGATTGTTGTTGTTGTTGTTGTTGTTGTTGTTTTGGTTTGAACTTTGCACGAGGGGTCGATCGTTGCCTCGGGAGGGGAGGGGTGCACGCAGCAGTCCGCGGGCAGAGGAATGGGGGGGGGGGACCCCCCGGCAGACCTGCGCAACCTTCTCGGACAGGCCCGCGCACAAGCTGCGGGCCACACTGCCAGCACAGCTGCTCCGGGACCGGGTTCGCGCAGACTTGCGGGCCTCAAAAACGTGTCCCGCACACCCCCTCACCCCAAACTGACGAGGAGTGGCTGCGACTGGGTTCGCAGAAGCCGCGGGCTCCCGAGCAATGGTCCGCTGGTCTCCTCACCCCAAACGGGCTGTGGTGGATTCTGGAGGTCGTCGAGTCAGACTTTGCGAAGAACCTTGCCGACGAGGAGGCGACCGAGGCTGATGCGTTGTCCTCGTACGGAGCAAGGACGCAGGAGATCAAGGTGTCTGCGGCGACGAAGAGCCAGGATGTGACATACAAAGTGCAAGAGTTCAAGGGCTTGGACAAGGACGTCAACGAGCTATCGTCTGACCGCACGTCCACCAACGAGGAGCTGTCGTCGGTGCTGGAGTACTACGCTAGGGTGAACGATCGCTGCATCGCCAAGCCGGAGGCGTACGAGGAGCGCAAGGCCCGCCGCGAGTCCGAGATACAAGGATTGAAGGAAGCCCTTGCGATCCTGAACGAGGAGACCGCTGCTTCGCTCCTGCAGGCGCGCAAGCACCGCTCCCTGCGCCAGGGGGCGCTCGCCGCGTGAGGCGGCCCGCCGCGCGCGCGCGTGGCGGCCGAACTGCTGCGCAGCCTGTTGGGGCGCACCTCTCCCCCTAAAAAAAAGAAACAGGCTCTGAGACGGCCCAAAGGGGGCCCCAAGGCAGCCGCAGAGAGTTCCCCACAACGGCCGTGGAGAGCCCCTCAGAGCAGGGCGCCCAGATTGCCGCCGACGTCGCCAGGCGGTCCAAGAGCGCCCCGACACGGCCAGGAGGCCCCGAAGGGTCCCGACGACCCCGACAGGCGCCGCCAGGAGCCCCACGAGGCCCTGCCATCTTCTCCCATAGCGACTGTCCACTCAAAGGGCACTGGCAAATCGCCAGTGTATGCGACCGCCTGCGCACCCCACCAAGCATCATCGATATTTGGAGCTTCCGCTTGCAGCGGAAGCTCCACCTTGGTCACACACTCTGCCTTCCAGTGTCAGGAAGTCCCTCAACAACTCAGGAGGGGAAAAAACACACAGACACAATTAATCCTCGATTCCCCAGAAAATGGGAAAATATGGGAAGTGGGGGGGAAGACAAAAAACCCAAACTTATGGAAACATATGGGGAATCCTGTTATCGAAGACGCCTACGGCGAATCACCGCCGCCCCCTGCCTTCTTGGAAGCGCCTATGTGGCCGAAGGTTGTGGCCAGAGGCCTGCCAAGCTATCGGACCACGTGTTCCCCGAATCGGTTTGGAAAGCCTTCGGGGAACACGTGGGCATCTTGAAGGTCATCTTGGCCGTCTGGAGGCCATTCTGACCCTCTCGGGCCTTCTTGGAGGACGTCTTGGAGGGCTCTTGGGCCGTCTTGGAGGCTATCTTGAGCGTCTTGGTGACCTCTTGGGCCTTCTTGGGGGCCTCTTGGGGCCGTGTCTTGGGCCTCTTGGGCGATCTTTGTGGGCACTTGGGCCGTCTCGGGCCGTCAGAAGGCAGAAAAAAAGCAAATGCCACAATCCTTCAAGAACCCATGGCAAATCAATGATTATGGCCTTTTCGGGCCTTCCTGGAGGCCCTCTTGGAGGCCTCTTGGGCCGTCTTGGGCTATCTTATGGCCATGTTCGGCCGTCTTGTTCGGCCGTCTTGGTGGGCTCCTGGTCCGTCTGACGCCGTCGGAAGCCGTTTGGGGGGCCTCTATGGGCCGACTTGGGGCCCTCTTGGAAAGCTCCAGGGCCGTCTTGGAGGCCATCTTGGGCGCCTTGGAGGCCATCTTGGGCGTGTTGTAGGCCTCTTGGGCCGTCTTGTGGCCCTCTTGGGGCCGTCTTGGAGGCCACTTGGGCCGCACGGGGCCCTCTTGGGGGCCTCTGGGGCGATCTTGGGGGCCTCTTGGGCCGTCTTGAGCCGTCGGTATGCCGAGAAGAACCAAATCCCCAGATCCTTCAAAAACCGAAGGAACATCAATGATTTTGGCCTCTTCGGGCCCTCCTGGAGGACCTCTTGGAGGCCTCTTGGGCCGTCTTGGAGGCCTCTGGGGGGCCTCTTGGGCCGTCTTGGACTCTCTTGGGCCATCTTGGAGGCCGTCTTGGACCATCTTGGGCGGACTTGGAGGCCATCTTGGACCATCTTGGAGGCCATATTGGGCCAACGATGCCATCTTGGCACCATCTTGAGCCATCTTGGAGGATTTTTTTCCGGATTGAGCGCCTTTCTGGGTGGCCGGCGGGACGGGCCGAAGCCCCAGGGGGAGTTCTTTTGTTAAAAGAACCAAAACCAAAGCCGAGAGGATCCCTATGGTTGGCATCGCCTCGTCTCGATGCGGATCTTAGGGATTCCCTCCGTTTCTGAGGGCGCTTCCCTAAGATTGTCGTCGACTTTTGGCTTGTTAATCTTAGGAATAGGGATACGTTCGAGGCTGGTTACAAGAGTCGGGGGCCCCCAAACGGGGTGGTGACCACACCGTGTGGTGAGTCGGTGGGGGTTCGGGGTCACCGCACGGTTTTGGGACTCGGGTCGTTCTCCGAGGACGTCTCGGGCGACTGGGGCATCCGAGGTCCCAGAATCATGCGTTGACGGATCGTGCGGTGAGGTCTTGGGGGATTCCGAGGTCACCGCACGGTCTGTCACCGCTCGGGACTCCAAAAAGAGGCGTCTTCGTCGTGAAGCAGAGGGGTCCATAAAGGAAGCGAGTTCTGAGCTGTTGTCGCCGGTTTTGTGCTCTTGGGGGCCTCCCAGGGCCCTGGGACTCTGGATCAACGACTCAGGGCGTCCTCGGAGAAGCGCCCGAGGTCGAGGACCCGTTTCCCTCAGGCCCCGTTTGGTTCGCACCACGCTCCCGAGGAGGCCCCCCCAGAGAGAGCACGTCGTTCACAGAGATGCCCCAGGAGGTTTCCAGGAGTGGGGCTAGACGGCCTGTTTCCAAGACGCTCCGAACCCGAAGGTAGGGGATGCGGAACATACGAACAAGTGCACCGACATTTACGTTTTCGATCCATTGTCCGGAGAGAGCGTTGCCAGCCAAATAAGAGCAACACCGTGCGACGCAACAACATACCCATGAAAAGCTCCGCAAGTTTACAAAGAGCCCCAGGATATCGAATCAAGGCCCCCACAGGACGCCATGAGAGGACAGCAGCCCCCGACGTCGATACAAATCTGGCCCCAAGATGTCCCAAGAGGCTCCCAGGATCGCTCCGAGATGCCGAGGCTCCCACGAAAGGCCCTAAGACGCTTCAAACAGCTTTCAAGAAGCCCTCGACTGAGCTCCACGAGCCCCACACGGCCAAATATGCCCCCCACACTGCCGACAGAGTGCCCCAGGAGCCCTCCAAGAGGGCCCTGAAGAAGCCCCCGTGGAAAGACCACGAGACACCCCAGGAGACCCGCCAAGGGCCTTCCGACGCTCCAAGACGCCTCCTTCGTCGCTGGGAAAACAGACGACACGGGGACCGCCGTGACACTTCCCTCCTCTCCTGTTCTCCGCTCCCGCCTTTCTCCTTCCCTCCTGCCGCCCCAGTCTTCCTGCCCTTGCTGCCTCCGCCCTCCTTCCCTGTGCCACGCACGCGCGCCGCCTCGCATGTGCTCGAAGGCCGGGGCTCGTGGCCCTGCCGGGCTCCACAGCGTGCCCCCCCCCCTCCCTGGAGGTCTCGACCCCTTCCCATTGGGACCGAGCTCCGCTTTCCCGAGCCGCTTCTGTTCGACAGTCCCGGGGCCCTGGCGGGGGCCCCCGGAGGCCGAGCTCATGGCGCGATCGCTTCACAGCTCGAGGGGGGGTCCGGTTTCGCGCCTCGAGGTCGCACCGCTCCGGGCGTGCGTCCTGGCTAGAGGAGCCGGGCCGCGCCGAGGAGAGGGTTCTCGGAGGCCCGACGGGAGCCGCAGGCGTCCAGAATCCAGGGAGGAACAACCACCCCGACCCAAGAGGACTGGCGCTTGCGAGACGGCCCTGGGCACTTACTGCGCAGCCCTTTCCTGTCCGACTCGTCTGGGTGCGTTTACCAAAAACTGTTTTGCTTGTCGGGGTGCGTGGTCGTCGTCGTCGTCGGCGGCGGCGGCGTCGGAGAAGGAGGAGGAGGAGGAAGAGGAGAAGGAGGAGGAGGAGGAGGAGGAAGAGGAGGAGGAGGAGGAGTAGGAGGAGGAGGAGGAGAGGAGTAGGAGGAGGAGGACGAGTCCCGAGGGCGAGGGCCAGGGAGGGGGGGGGAGGGGACTAAAGGGATGAGGGGGAAGGGAGGAGGAGGAGGAGGAGGAGGAGGAGGAGGCGGAGGAGGAGGAGGAGGAGAGGACGACGAGTCCCGAGGGCGAGGGCAGGAGGGGGGAGAGGACTACAAGGGGAGGGGTAAGGAGGTTTGGAAGGAGGAGGAGGAGGAGGAGAGGAGAAGGAGGAGAAGGGGAGGAGGAGGGGAGGAGGAGGAGGAGGGAGGAGGGGGAGGAGGAGGAGGAGGAGGATTGGACGACTGACGAGTCCCGAGGGCGAGGGCCACCAGGAGAGTTCTAAAGGGAGGAGGGGCAAAGGAGGGATTGAGGAGGAGGAGGAGGCGGAGGAGGATGATGATGATGATGAGGAGGAGAGGAGGAGTAGGAGGAGGAGGGGCGAGGAGAGGAGGAGGAGGAGGAGGAGGAGAGGAGGAGGCGGACGCGACGAATCCGAGAGCGAGGGCCAAGGGGGGGAGAGGTCTAAAGGGAGGAGGGGCAAAGGTGGGTTTGAGGAAGAGGAGGAGGAGGAGGAGGAGAGGAGGAAGCGGAGGAGGAGGAGAGGAGGAGAAGGCGGAGGGAGGAGAGGAGGAGGTGGAGGAGGACGGGGGGAGAGGAGGAGAAGGAGGAGGAGGAGGAGGAGGGAGAAGGAGGAGGAAGCTGAGGACGAGGAGGCGGAGGAGAAGGAGGAGGGGGGGAGGAGGAGGAGAAGGAGGAGGAGGAGGAGGAGGAGGAGGAGGAGGAGGAGGAGGAGGAGGAGGAGGAGGAGGAGGAGGAGGGGAAGCAGGTGGCCCCAGCGGCGGTGCGGAGGCGGCCGGCGGGCAGCGGGCGCTGGCGACTGCGCTTCCGCCGCCCGTTGGAGGCCGCGCGGAGCCGCCGTCGTGTCGAGCTTGCGGCTGCTGCTGCTGCTGCTGCTGCTGCTGCTGCTGCTGCGGATGGTCTTGGAGTCGGTCGGGGGTTCCCAAGGGAGAGGGAGGGAAGAGGAGGGGGAGGGGGAGAAGGAGGAGGACGAGGACGAGGAGGGGGAGAAGGATGAGGGGATGGAGGAGAGCAGGAGGAGGAGGAGGAGGAGGAGGAGGAGGAGGAGGAGGAGAGGAGAGGAGGACGAGGAGGAGGAGGAGGAGGAGGAGGGGGAGGAGGGAAAGAGAAGGGGGATATGGGAGAAGGAGCAGGAGGAGGAGGAGGAGGAGGAGGAGGAGGAGGAGGAGGAGGAGGAGGAGAAGGGTAATGAGGGAGGACCAGAGCAAACCCAAGTTGCAACAAGGACAGGACTCCGTCCTGACCTAAGTCCCATCCTCCTAAGCACGTGTATGCATGCCTTCCTTCCCTCTGCAAGGAGCACCCCCTTGAAGCACGAACCCCCAATGGGCCCGCCATT